CCACAGGTCTTTGAAGCCTTGCTCATTTTTATTTTTTCTATCTCCCTCTCTGTTAAGAATGGGTGAAATCTATCGATCTGTCTTCAATCTCACTGATTTTGTCTCCTGTCATCTCCATTTTGGTATTATGTCCATCACTGATTTTTTTTTTTTTTGGTTATTGTATTTTTCAGTTCTATAATTTGCATTTGGTTCTTTTTTATAATTTGAATTTCTTTGCTGAGATTTTCTAGTTATGCACTAGTCATGAAAATTTAAGATGCTTGCTGCTGCATTTTTTGTCAGCTACTTTAAAATTCTTATCAAATAATTCTCACCTGAGGTTCATCTTGGGATTTACCTCACTTGATTGTCTTTTCTCATTAAAGTCATTATTTTCTTGGTTCTTAGTATGAAAGATGATTTTTGATTGTATGTTGATTTTTTTGTTATGTTAGGTGACACTAGACATTATTTAAATCTGGGGGTTTTTTAGAATGGAAAATATAGTTTATTTAAAAGTAAATTAGTGAGAGAGAGAGAGAGAAGATAAGTAGGGAAGGGGGCCAAAGCCAGGAAACATGGCCTGGCCATAGGTCAAACAGTACATGGCCACAACATATCTTAGCAAGGCAATGGTGGCAATGATCTGGCAATGGCCAAATCTGTTGTTTTAACAGGCAGCCGCACTATTTAGTATCAGTACATGTTTCTTGGCCTATTTGTGTATACTATGGCTGTCATGACAGTTTAATTTTCAATATTTTTGCAATTGTCAATATTTGGATACATTTGGTTTATGTGGTATAACTGATGCTCCCACTGTCCCCTACCGGTACTGCCGGAAGTAGTAGAGGCATTTTTTTCCAGATGTTTCTTGGAGTAAAAATGTGGTGAGAACCCTATACAAGAACACCTTGGCTGTTCAGTTCTTCTGGACAGAGAGTGAGAAAATTTGATTTGTGGGGCAAATAAGTTTGCTATACTTGGTCAGTTGTTGTATCTAGATCCTTCTTGCAGGTTCTGCTTATCTTGCCAGGTGTCTCTGAGTGGAGGAGAAGTTTGAGCTAACATAGACAAAGAGGTTTTCCAGATTTAGCTGATTGTTATTGCTGATTTTTTTCCTAGTTTTGCCCAACCACCTTGGTGTCTTTTAACAGAAAAGGAGATCTCAGGGCTGGCAGAGAAAGAGGGTGCTTCCCCTTGTCACCTATATTTGGCAAATCTCCTAACTGATCCCCATGGCTGGCTGTCAGGCTCACCTGGTATGCTAAGAGTGGTTTCTGTTTGACTCAGGAGAAGAATGAGCTTCACTAGGCTGTCTTTTGTTACTAGGTCAGGAGTTAAAAAAAATTCTGAGTCTGTGTGGCCTTCGTGTGTTGATTGGGAGATTGTAAGACATTCCACTGCTATCATTTCTCCTGTCGTGGGGTTTCAAAGCAGTCAACACTCCTTTTTACCTTTTTCTTTTGCTTGCCTCCTATACTATTTTCTGTTTCCAGGGTTTATAGTTGTGTGTAGTGGGGTGGAACATGGAAAAATAAGTTTATGAAATCTCGTCTGAGCCAGAAGTTTGTTTCTCTTCATTAAATTGTGAAATATTTGAGGTACAGGGGAAGTTTATTTTTTCCTATCCTCTAAATAGTATACATTTGTTAAATATTTTGTGAATTAAATTAATCCAAGTGGGTGTAAACATCTCTATAATAGCATAAATAGGAATGTGATTCCAAAATACTCTCTTGGAGTGAGCATGTTTATTCTTTGTTCAGACTTTCTGTATATGGATCAGACTTGTAATGACCCTTCTATTTATTGTGGAGTGGATCCTATGAAAGAAGAAATAAAAATAATAGAGAAATTATATGATGTTTCATTTCTAGCTTGCCATATCATTCTGGACTTTCAAAAGTGTTCTAGTTAATAGATTATATGATTGATGATTTTTAACACTTTCTTATTCATGTATCCCTAAAAACTATGTCCCTTTTGTACACTTTAAAATATCTAAGCCTTTTTTAATCAGGAGTTTGAATAGTTGCAAAGATGTAATGACTTATATATAGTAAATGCTATTGTTTAAAATAAGATAGTTACATGCCTCTTTAAAATGTATTCAGTAGAATGTATATACCATAATAATCCATTAACAGTTGAGACATTTACTTCATCTTAAATTTGTAGTCCTATTGTATTTTTCACTACATCATCACATCCCAATACTTAGATTTTTTTCATGACCAACAGAAATAGAATGCATATGAAAATTTGTCTATAACTTGTCTATGTGTATATGTAATTATACATATGAACATATGTATATGCATTGTGTATACAAAATATGCATATAAATCGACTTTCTGTAACAATAAATCCATATGTTTTTAAAAGTTCTTATAAATGATATTATTAATATAAATTAATTTAAACTCAACATATCAAACAAAGTTTGATACTTTTTAGCATAAAAGCAAAACATTTTTGGAAATATTTTTAACCAGATGGATGGAAGTTTTTAAACTTTTATTTAGTTACCATGTTCATGGATGATGGTTGCTTATTGCTTAAATAAATCCCTCATAACTTTTATTTCCATTTTTAAATTGTTAGATATACATGCTGAGAAAAATTTTCTCTATAATGAGTAGATTGGAATGGAAAAATTTTATTGTAGTAATATCTCACAATTTTCTTAATTTTGTAAAGTTATATCATAAAACTACAGTAGATTTTTATCAAGCATTCTTTTAAATGGGTTCTCAGCTAGGTCAATTGTACCCCCCTATTTCAATGTTAATGGTAGAAAATTGGACAAACACCTTCATGTAAATAGATTTGTTACCTAATCATTTTGGTCAGTTACTTCTTTATTGATATCAAAAAATATATATTTCCTATCATAACTTAGTTTGGTGTTGGAGATATGTTTCCACTTCAAAGCAATGCATCAGAGTTAAATTAAGAAAAGGTGAGATCTGCCTCTCTTTTTTAAAAAAAATATTTATTTATTATAAAGATGTGGGGTACAATTAAAGGTTAAGTATATAATCTCCGATCATGCAGGTACCCTTGTTGATGAGGTATGCCCCTCCCTCCCCTAGCAGTTTCCCTCAACTGTCAGTCCCACCCCACCCCGCCTGACAGTTTTCCACTACTGCCAATCGCTTTCTTATAGCATTATGATTGTTCAAGGTCACCTTATGAGTATGAACATATGGAACTCAGTTCTTTGTTTCTGTGATAAATCACTGAGTATGATCGACTCCATGGTGAATAAACAAATCTGTAGACTGTAGACCTCTTTTTTTGCTTTGTACCAGTAGATATATTTTATGAAAGAATAAAATTGGAAGATGCCTTTATAGTATTAAAAAGTATTTGTCCACCTATCAGACCATCCCTGAGTTTGAAGATCAATTGTACTTAGCGTCGGTGTGTTTGTCATTCTCTTCTTCTCCAGAGATTTTTTCAAATACTGTCTTTAGATATGTACTTCCCCTGATAGTTGGCTAGATAATTTATCATCCTCAGAGTTCAATTGTCTCGATACATTGTGGGATGTATGAAACTAGAACAAGTTTTCAAGATTATTTTATATACAACAGAAGATGAAATACAGAAGACGCAGATAAATTGTTATATATTACTATACCCTTAATACTGAGATAGGCTTCTTTTCCTCCTTCCATCTCTCCTTCTCTCCCTTCCTTTTTCACTCTTCCTCTCTCTGTTTCTTTCTCTCTCAATCTCTCTTTCTCTCTCTCTCTCTCTCTCTGTGTAAAAAATTCCTCTTAAGATTCTTCATCCTGCTAGGGAAAGAGTTTGGAAAAAAAATGTTTGGCTTCACATATATATTGTGTGCATTGACAGGTTCCTCTTTTAGATCCTTCAGATTTATGATTAATGCAATTGCATATACTAAGATCATCCATATTTTATTTTTCTGCCACAAAATGATAATTTTTTTCAGAAGAACATTGTCTTTTTTTTTTAGATGTAGCACACCTTGAACAGACCTGACTGAACCCTGAAATGTCTGTACCTATACAATACACAAACCCTCACATAAAAACACACATCCAGGTAGAGCACCAAGATCACTGGTGCATAAAATAGTATTTGTGAATACTTTATTCAGATACCCCTAATTATACATGTCTGTGTATGTATGCATGTATGCATTTGCATTTGGGATGTTGTGCCTTATTATAGTAAATGACAATGCATGTCTCTCATACATAGCCTAAGACTCAAAAAAGATCATTTTTTACTGTATTTACTATTGATGCTGTTGTTATCATTGTTAGATTTGTAAGAGTAATGTACTTGAATCCTAACAAAATGAATTCTAATCTAGGCTCATCAATAATATGTGCAGATTATTCCTTAGATAAGTTATTTAAACTTTTTGTGTTTTTGGCTTTTCATTTGTAACATAGGAGTGATAGCATTTCTCTAACTTTCAGAAATTTGGTAATACCAGTACTTATGTGTAACTTTGCAAACTATAAATTACTGTCAAATAGAAAAAATATATATCCATATGAGATGTGCATATAGAATGATAATGAATTTTTAAAAACATATTTGAAAAACACATGCTGCAGATATGCTACAGTAAACTTTTAAAATTGGAGATATTTATAAAAACCAAACTGTAATATTTTGTACTTAGAACCTCCTTTAGACCCCAGATGATAGGTTACAGCATAACTGCCTTTTTATTTTGTAAGATTTGGCATCATTTAAGTTATTTATTTGGGAGGGTATATCATACACTTAGATGCATAAAGTCTTATTTCTCTGTTTAAAATGTGTCAGATTATGTTGCTTTATATTTTTATTCCATAAATCCTGTTATTGGCAAGTTTATCATCAGTAGACCTTTATGGAAACTAAAGGTCTTTCAAGGAATTAAGATAGAAGTGTTTATATATGTTTCCTTATATGGGTTAAACTGTGAAGTTATTATGATGATTATTGTTAAGTTAATCATTTGGCCTTCTTTTCTCTTGCTTTAGGTTGATTCCATTCTGTCTACTGGAAATTGAGTCGGAAATTGAGTCAGTAGTTAATTTTGGCATGTTGGTTGCCAATAGTAAAGTATATTGTAAAGAGATTAAAATAATTAATCGTGGCAGAGTTCCAGGTAAATATTCACTGTCATATATATTAACTCACACTTTTAGAAGAGTTAGTATTATTTGAAATGTATACCTTATGTAATTCATAGCTTCTCTGATTCATCCAAAAAAAGATGTCTGACATTTGAAATAACTCACAACTAAAGAGCCTAAATTGTATGACTGTAAAAGACTGATAGGCAATAATTCAGGAAAAATGAACCTGCCTTCTTATTGATGCTGATTCATACAGTCTGTCTTTCAGATGATACCTGAGGATAAGAGGCAGGATGATGTCTTAAAAGTGACATTGCTCTTAGAGCCACTCATAGACAGAATTAAGGCAAACGTCTTATTAGCTGTGTGATCCATGGCAAGTGTTTTTAAGAATGTTGAACTTAAGATACCTCATTTATAAACTGGGGCTAATAAAATGCATGATGACTATGCACATGCTTGAGGTTGTGATATGGTACTTGGCTTATCATAGATGCTCAATAAATATTTGTTCTCTGTCTCTGTCGTTTTCAACTTTAAAATCACATAATGACCCCTACAAGGTTTTTACTAATTTTTGTTGAAAAAATAAATGTGTTTTTCTTCTCCAGACTAGATTATTTCCAGGGATTCTTACTATGGCCTAAGAGTTTCCAGAATAGTATGTATGTCCCTGCACACTTTTCATTTGTAGAATACAGTAAGCATAAAAGTGCTTATTGCTTCAGTCTCCTCATTAGATGGTCAGCATGTAGAGTTGCAACATTGCCATTTCTTCCAATCTAATATGAGGCCTAACTGCAGACAGATAGGATATTTCTGTGAGACTACTTATTGAATACATAAAACCGATCTTAAACCCAAACTCTTTCCCATTAACTGAGAATGTTATTTGAGGCCACCTAATTGAGCTTTGATAATTATTAAGATAAAAGCAATCTGTCGCTTTTTACTGATGTTTTCCCCTAGAGTATAAAAGAATAAAACTGGTTACTATTCCTCATTGAGTGTTACTCATTTCACTTTCCATGCTTTGGTTTTTAAATGAGTGAGTATCTGATGACTGTGGGATTATAGAATATTAGGCTCATCTGTGGTCTGACTCCAGTGTTAAGGAGGAAGTCTCTTATGGAGAGTGATTATCGGCTATATAATCCTTTAGACTCACTGGGTATATTTTAGAGCACTGGTATGTAATTAGAAGATTTTTATTAGTATTACTTTACTTTCTAAAGTTTCTATTAATTGTTATCTATTGAAAATCTTTCAAAGTTTTGATCACAGTAATATATACTCTTTTTACTCTAAAATCTCACCAAATTGTGTAGTTTTATTTCATATGAATGCTCTATATAAGCAAAAGAGATTTTAATTTTATCAAATATCTAATATAATTTTACTCAATAAAATAAATACAATTAAGCTACTGATCTGGTTCACATGTTTTAGGACAAATAATGCACATTGGCTATTAGTATTATGTTAGTATTTTCTATGTACATAGTATTTATGTTAGGCTTATTATAATTGGGTACTGTGAAATGTTAATTACTATTACCTTACATACCAAAGCAAATTGTTATCATTAATCACATTTTCTTAGTGTTACTTTGTCACTCATGTTATGTGTTAAATTATCGAATTTTTTCCACCATTATCAAAATTGATATAATTTATTATAGTTACAGTAGCAAGTGCCTGTAAGAGTCATAAAGCCCTTATTATTTACAAGCACAATATATAAATATTCATGATAATAACAATATATATTCATGAGGAAAAACACTTATGCAGAAAATGGATTCAGCAGCAAAAGATGATTTTAATAAAAATTTAGAATGCATTTTATGTGACAAATGTTTTATAACTTTAGAATCAAAGTTCAAATGCATACAAATTTATGTGTATAAGTAATAAGACATTTAAAAATCTACCCTTGGCAAATTTAAGTGTGTACATCTTTCTTTTCTCTCCTTCGTAGTGTCATTGGAGTTCTTATCTTTGTTTTTATAGATCCCAAGGTTTAGCTATGTAATAATTTCTTGATGGTTTATTTTAATAGACTCTTATGGAGTAAACACTCATGCATTTAGCCAAATAGTATTGAATACATTGTTTCCTCAACCTTTATAAAAATGTTTCTTGTTTACTCCTGACTGTGCAAAGTATAGCTTATCTTTTCTGAAAAGACATGCCTCATTCTTTAAAATGTCTGTAATTAGTACTCTGTGAGTGAAGCTAATGAACTCCATGTTTACTTTTATGATTTTATGATTAGGGGTATGATAATAATCCTGTTATCTGTCAGTTTTTATCTTTGGAAACTGAAAAAAAAAACATTTTAAATTTAGAATTACAATCATTTTCTCCTTCACCTGAATATCCTTGATTATTTAAGTAGACTTTTTTTTCTTCTACAGTGTTATAATATAGTTTCTAAAGTCCCTAAGTGAGATCCTTATACACATTTCTGAATTTGAATATCTACCTCAGAACTTATCATCCTTTAGGTTTACTTGGGCTACTTTGTCCAAAATATATAAACCTTTCACTTGCTCTTAATGCCCAGTCTACCCTTTTCCCTTATCGTCAGCGTTATCTCTCTATTGCACTGTGTAAAAAAGCTTGGCATCATCTGTAAAACATGAAATTTGCTAAATTGGACCAAACCTAGAATTAGTCCTAAGAATCTTTCTTACTCATCCAGAAAAGCATCTCCTGCTTTGAATCTTTCAATGAAAGGTGATTGAACTAAAAAAGAAATTAGTTACACTCATATGAATATTTAGACTAGTCTCCAAAATTAGTCATTTGGAGACCTGTGGAGCCTAGAACACACTTGATGTACTTAGACCCAAGGAAGCTTTTAAAGAGTTAAGAAATTACAATGATCTTGAGTCCATGACACTTGATTTTTAATAGCGTTTTATAAAACTACAAACTTTGGTCACCCTGGCTTGAATTTACAGATACACTGACACAAAAATCTACTTAATAAATAATTTCTAAACCGGGCTCGGTGGCTCAGCCTGTAATCCCGCGCTTTGGGAGGCTGAGGTGAGTGAATTGCCTGAGCTGGCGGGTTCGAGACCCTCCTGGGTAACTTGGCGAGACCTCATCTCCACAGTAAATCAAAAAATTAGCTGGGCGTGGTAGCACACGCCTGTAGTTCCGGGTACTTGGAAGGCTGAGACGGAAGGATCGCCGGAGCCCAGCAGGTCGAGGCTGCGGTGACCGGGAGCGGCCACTGCACTCCAGTCTGGGCCACAGAGTGAGACTCCAACTCAAAAGTAAAAAATAAAAATAAGTTTCTAGAAGTATTTTGGAGAAGTATAGGCAAGGTAACAATGTATATTTCACCACCCAGTGTCTAAGCTGCTTCTCTAGAGAAGGTAAAAGAACCCAGATTCAAGAAACACTTAGATTTGTGCAAACAGCCCTTCATCCCAGATATAGTTGTGAGTGCCCTTACGTCTTGTGTGTTCTCCTAGATCTTATTAGTGTCCAAGTCTATTTGTCGATTTCACATGGCTTATTAAGAAACATTTGAGCCTTTGGGAGGCTGAGGTGAGTGGATTGCCTGAGCCCGCGGGTTCGAGACCCGCCTGGGCAGCGAGACCTCATCTCTACAATAAATCAAAAAATCAGCCGGGCGCGGTAGCACGTGCCTGTAATTCCGGCTACTCGGAAGGCTGAGGCGGAAGGATCGCGGGAGTCCAGCAGGTCGAGGCTGCGGTGGCCGGGAGCGGCCACTGCACTCCAGTCTGGGCGACAGTGAGACTCCAACTCAAAAAAAAAAAAAAAAGAAATGAAACATTTGACTTAGTCGCCACTGTCATCTTCTTGGGAAAACAGAACAAAAAACTGTCTGGCTTCTGTGACCCTTCACTTTCTTAAATAGAATACTAATTAATAGCTTAAGTCTTGAAGTGAGTTCAGGGCTCACATTTGTGAACAGGGCTCACATCTTGGTTGTACTTTTTACTTGCTGGGAGACCCCAGGGAAGGAATTTGCTCTTCCTGAATATCCATTGCCACACTTATACATTAGAGGTAAAAATAATGCCTTCTTCCTCTAGTTGTGGTAATGATTAATAAAATTCTTAGCACACTCTGTGGAATATATTAAATGTTCAATAAACATTAGTTGATAATGTAACGATTACTCCTTTCTACCACCTCTCCCCTCTTCGATTTTCTTTTCTGGACTGCTATTTCTTTCCTTGCTGTATTAAATGTGAACATTCCTTAAGGTTTGCCATAGACCTTCATATTTCCTCAGCCAACATACTCTCCCTGGACAATCACTTCCATTCCTTTTTTCTACTGACTCCATCCAGATCCATACAATATTTTAGGTATCCTTCAGTTTTCTGAAATTTAATATGCTAAAACCAAATCCAACAGCTTACCCCAATATTTTACCTTTTTTTCTTTTTAATTGAATGTCGCCTCTAAAGTATTTGGGCAAGTCAAAGTCCTTGACACCTCTCTTTTTGCCTCTTACCTCTTTATTCAATTTGTACATCCTATCTAGCCACTTTCTGATTAAGTCAGTAATCCTATTTGTCTCTGTCCCATTGCCACTTTTCTACAACAGGCCGTCATCTTCTCTTGTCTAGTAATTACGTTAACCTAAATTATTTAAAGTTACATCTTATCTTCTTTTATGTATTTCCCACACCTAAGGTAGTATCATATCTGAGAAGAAATGAAAGTCTGATTACAAATTTCCATTTGTAGCATTCTTTTTTTCAACAGCACTCTTCTCTCAGGATGATGCCCTTGCTTCTGTCTTAAGCAATAAAAAAAGGAAAATAGTCTGTATTAAAGTTATATAAGACATAGTAATGTTGACATACTTGTCTTTTTTGTTGTTGTTGTTGTTGTTGTTGTTTTGAGAAAGCAGGATTTATTGAGAGGACAGAAAAACTCCCACAGTGGGTGGGAACCCGAAGGGGTTGCTACATACTTGCTATTTTAATGTATTTAGAAAATTGAACAGTATTCATTTGAATTTTGTGTTGTTCCTGAATAAGCTTTTGAAAGATTCATTTAAACTCTTTTGTCAAATAATGTCTAAATGGTTGCAATATAGAAAGCTATTTCACTGACTCAGCCTTAACTGAACTCATATAGCTTTTTTTCTAGGGAATTGGATAAAAAATACCTATTTATTCAAAATTGATGTAATTAATAGATTTTCGTTTTTTCTTATAACAGAAATGAACTTTATTATGTCATTGCACTTCTATTAAAATGAGAGAATTAATACATTTGGTTACTTTGAGTTTACAAATAATGTCTTTTTATATTTTCAATACTTTTATTATGGTAATAGTTTGTTCTCCTATGTTAAATGAACAATTCTGAAAATATCATCAAATGTGGTTTAAAACTGCTGAACTGGAAATTAGTAAAATTGTTTATGTTAGAATAATGCTCACTTGTGTTAACATTGCAATCTGATAATAAAAAAAGAAAAACTAGTGATTGCTTTCATTTGCTGGACATGTTTTGAGTACTGCTTAGTGCTAAGAAGTGTGTGGGATGCTGGGATCACAGACATAAAAAATAGACTGTATGCGATGTCAAAGATCACATGCTCTTTATGTAGGCACTAACATTAACATAAATTATGAATGATTTCTGCTTTTAGAATAAGAATGTTTGTAGCCTCCTTTGCATACGCCATTTGATTCTAGAAACTCATTTCCTTTGCTCTTACCCTGTGTTAACTGGATAAATTAATCTCTAAGGAAGTGGTAGTGGCTATAAGTGTGAACCTTGTGGTCAGAAACATCCAAGTGAAAATTCGAAATCCGTGTATGAATGCTGAATGTATGTATTTATTGATTCAAGGTCTCTGTCTCTCAGGCTGGAGAGCAGTGGCATGATCACAGCTCGCCACAGCCTCAACCTCCTGGGTTCAAGTGATCCTTCTGCCTCAGTCTTCTGAGTAGCCAGAACTACACATCCGCACCATCACACCAGGCTAATTTTTTAATTTGATTTTTTTGTAGAGCTGAGGACTCAGTATGTTGCTCAGGTTGGGTTCAAACTCTTGAGCTCAAGCCCAGATTTATTATGTAGTTACTAACTGTAGCAATTAACTATTGCTATGTAACAAAGCATTCCGAAATACCTTAAGATAGCAATTATTTATTTAATTGCTCATGTGCATACAGATTGATTGGAACTTGACTGATCTAGGCTGGGCTCAGCTGGATGTTCAGCTTCAAGCTGAGCTAGCTGGGGCTGTTGTTTCTCACTGCAGATTTGTGGGTCAGCTGAGTGGCTCTGTTACCCATTTGCTCATTCAAGGACATAGGCCAAAGGGACAGCAGCAACTCAGGAGAAACACTTTCCTCTCTTCATGATAGAAGTGCATTGGGGTTGGAACTGGCATGCTATCAATTCCACCCACATGGTATTGGCCAGAGTAAATTACATAATCAAATCTAAAGGCAAGGGGCAGGAGAACACACTTTGTACATTATAGAGTAAGAAGATGGGTATAGGAAAGTTGAAGAATCATGTTCAACAATCTAATCTACTACACTAGTTGTGTGACTTTGAGCAAATCAATCAACATTTCTAAATTTCTATTTCCTTACTTATAAAATAGAGGTAATGATTAAAACTATATCATAGATTCCTTATGAAAACTATATAGGATACCATATATGAAGTGCTTAACGTGTCCGAACATAGTAAGCAGACAATATATTTTAGGTATTGATGAAGGTTGAGTTCTAATATTAAGCTCATATTTATTAGATGGTCTCAATGACTGGACTTAAAACTGTTTTTCTTGGGATAGAATAGACCATCTACTCTGTAATATATCCATTTCCAACTAAGAGTGTGAATGCAATATCGTAAGGGTCCAAATATAAACCATCTGCTCTTGATTCCCTTAGGTATGTTTAAGACAGAATATCAGGGCCGATTACCCATCCTCATTTCTCCAACTAGTGGTATTGTGGATTCTAAGTCATCGATTGTTATCAAAGTGAATTTCTGTGCAGACCACCCAAGAATTGTAGATGAAGAGGCAATGTGAGTGTATATTATGGTTCTTAATTTTAGTATGAATCTAAATACTTTTTTTTTTCACCCTTCATGTATGCCTTTTATTGTATGGTAGCATCTTTGTTTCTTCATTCAACATTTATTCATCGAGTCTCTGCTATTTGCCAAGAGCCAGTCTCTCAAAAATGGGAAGAACTAGAGGATAGCATATGGTTATACCCAACAGAATCCTCTAGTTTGTATTTCATGAAGTGGGTCAAGAAATGGCTCCACTAAGAAGGTAATAGTTGAACCAAACACTTATTGATGAGTAAGAATTAGCCAGGCAAAGAGCAGTGGTGCAATTTGTAGGAGAGATGGGTGTTGGTGATAGGAGTGGGTTAGAGGAGGTATTTCAGGCAGAGCAAGCAGCAGACTTCTAGAGGCAAAAACACTATATTACACACTGAGAGATCTGTGGCAATTTAGAGTCAAAGAGATGAAGGTGGAGAGTACTGAGATGGATCAGAAAAATTGAATGGGGATGTTCTAATCAAGGGCCTTGTCAACCAACATTTTTTTAATGCTGCGTGTCTCAATTCACTAGTGGAATGTGTAATCAACATAATGGGTCACCACCAACATTTTAAAAATGAATCAAATACTATCAAAATATATGTGTGTGTGTGTGTGTGTGTGTGTGTGTGTGTTCCTACATTGCAATGTAAACTACATTTCTTACTGTAGGACACACTCATAAATGCATGCAAAGCAGATGTGAACCTTGATGGAAGCTTAGGTTTTATTGTGAAGGCTGTGAAGTCTCAGGAAGCTTTTAAGACAAGAGTGTCCTGATTAGTTTCATTTTTAAAAAGTCATGCTAGTGGCAGTGTGCAAGACAGACCCGGGAGTACAAATGTGGGGTGGAAAGCCTGATAGAAATTAGAATAGTAAAGCAAGAAGAGCAAGATAAAGACTAGAGCTAAGGTAAACTGAGACGATTGATAGAAGTGTGAAGATTAGAGATAGGTTATGGGGGCTCATTTGACTAGATTTGGCTACTGATTGTAGAAAAAGAAGATAAGAGGTGGAACAACTTTGTGGGATAAGATTTTAAGTTCAGTTTTGACATGTTAGAATCAATTTGCTTTTCAGATTCCAGGTAGAACTGGCTAAGGCCTATTACATTTTCTTGTCTGTAAGTACAGAAAGAAATTTTATCTAGATGTACAGGGTGTTACTTACCCAAAAAGCTTAGAACCAGATGTGCTTTGAATTTTGAATTACTTTGTATTTTGGAATATTTGCATTATACTTCCTGGTTCAGTATCCCTAATCCCAAAATAAAATATCTGAAATGTTCCAATGAGTATTTCCTTTGAATTTCATGTTAGTCCTTAAAAAGTTTTGGGTTTTGAAACATTTTAGATTTCAGATTAGAAATATTCAAACTTTATTGGGATCAGGGTCAACAAAGCATAAGGGATGAAACAGGGAAGTGTTGCTAATAAATTTGAGAAGGAGTGTAGAATGTAAAAGAGAAACACTACTATTCACAGAGTTTACAAAAAATCCAAGTCTTAGAAAAATGAGAAGGTAAGGTTTGAGTGAATTAAAAGAAAAAGCAGGAAAGTATGGTGTCAAAAATGCTAAAGGAGGAGAGATATGCAAAGAGATGGTATAAACAATACCCAGCATTATAGGATATAGAGTAAAATAGAATTAAGTGACAGTTGAGGAGTAGTCAGTTATCTGTGGTATCTCATGGGACTAGATTGAGAAGATTGCATTTATGCCAAAGAGGAATAAATATGAGAGAACAGTCCCAAAAGAGAATTGAAAGTTATCAGGGTAGTGAAGATTTATGGGAAGATACTTATTTCAGAAAAGACATAGATTTTGGCTGAGATGCTTTAGATTGTAGGGAATGAGACTGGCTATTAGATTTCAGAGGTGGGATGAGTTAGAAAATAATCTCACACTTCTAGAGCTAGAGATAACCATATAAATCATCTAATTCTAGTATTTAAGAAATAATTGGTGATATGAATATACCATTGAACTCTTTCTGGAATCAATTCATGAGATTGTTCTCCTACTTTGCTGTTTCCTGTAGACAGTGAATTAGGCTTCACATATGCCATTCCACTGTGTAGATTCAGGCAGAAGGACCTGGTAACCTCAGGCATGTATGCAAACAGAACTACCCTTAGGCTGTTGAATTTTAATCATAATGTGATTTTAAAATTTCAATTTATACAAGTGTTCAGAAGAAATATAAAGTATATAGAATTCTAATTAAATATATAAATATATGTGCATATTTATTTTTTAGAGTGAGTTTGCAGGATCGTCCTGATATACACTTGATTATCAAAGCTCATGTGGTTGAGCAGATTATTGAATTGTTAAACATGAATTCGAATAAAAGGTTGGACTGCATACGCTTTGGTTCTATTTTCTTTGGAACATCAAAAATTGAACGTGCAGTTATACACAATAATAGCCCAGAACCCTTAAGTTGGGTGGCCATAATGCATGATGATTCTGTAGGAGAAGAATTGGTAAGTAAATGGTGAGATAAGGGAGTCAGGTATTATGATTAATAATAACCAACTAGTTTTTAATTATTAATTTGATTTGATTTCATGTTTGACCAAAGATAACTTCAAAATTTCAGATAAATTTTAACTGAATGACTAACATTTATAATAATATATATCTAAAGTAAACCAGACAAGTGCTTCTGATATAGATCAGTGACTAATTATGGGGATTTCTGTTCTCATCAATTTTTCAATATTTCTGCAAATTTTATGATATGTTTTGGTCAAATTTATGTATAAATGTTACTTTGAAGACAGAAATAATTTCCTATATTCTTACATTTTAATAATTATTTTATAACCTCCTCTTAAAAATCTTTTTGTTTATGTCTTAGCTTAATACTCTTTTATTTTCATTGTATATTAGGGTACAAATATTCAACAAGGAACAGATGTTGCTTTAAATAATCTCAACTACATAAGAAAAATAAAGAACATAGATATTACCAACTTTATCTCCTGTGTTCCTAATGAAGGGACTTTACTGCCTTATCAAAAGACTGTAATTACATTTTGTTTCAGCCCAAAGTAAGCAAAAATTAATTTCATTATAATGTTAAATACTAATAAAAAGTATATTAACCACATTTTAATTAGATTTATTTTAATACTGTCACAGTAAAATTTTCCAGAAGGTACAAATTGAATTTTTCTTTTTATGGTTCTAGATGTTTCTAACATAGTTAATGATATTTCCAATAATTCTAAATATGGTTCTAAATACTTCATGTTAAATTAAAAACCTCTTTGGATCTTATGCAAATGGGGTGGTGAAAGTACAAGTTTTGTATTGTTTTGGAGTGTGGCCTCAAACCAATCTGTGCAGCTAAGACCTAATTTGTCTCTGCAGGAATCATTGAGTACACGTAGGATGTTCTAGGTGACCCCAAAGAGGAGGCAGTGCTTCTGGCAGGGCAACCTTTTTGCCAACTATCATGAGTATTAAACCTGTAGAACCTGCTGAGATCAACCAGACTTGTTTGATAAAATTTTTACAGACTTTTAGCACTGAAGCCAATGTATATTGTTCACAATTCCAAAAAACCCTAGTTTTGTTAATTAGTTTGAAAATAATTTTTGGAAATGTTGTTTTAAATATATAATAGCAATATCAGTGACACCTTGATATGTTACAATGTGTGTCAACTGATTCAATTGCAGGAATGTTTGTGAGAGGGCAATGTTTAATGTATTTCTTTTTGTGAAACAGGGTTGCTTGGTAATATGAATTGCCTGTTGAAGACTGAGTGTGCTTTAATTTAAGGAGGTTAATAAATCAAGTCATTGTTCTATTTGTAAATCTCCTTATTAATAATACCTTCATACAGAGAATGTCTTTGGTAAATCGATAAGATTCTGTTTAATATACAATCTTTGAAATTCCAAATACTGTATTATTTTTCATGGTAGCATAATAACTTGATTTGAGAGTCTAGCATAGACTAATAGGTATGGGTAAAATTTGAAGTCTTAGGTAAATGCATTCTGAACACACCATTTGTATTCATATTTAATATTACACATTATCCTTTTGTGAATGTATTTGAATATCTATCATTAGAAGAGCTAACCTCTCGGTAAGGCAGGTAAAGACAGCAGGCCTATGATATAATCCATCTCCCTCTTTGATCCTACTTTCTATCCTTCCTTTTCTTTACTTCTCTAATAAAATTTGACTGTTACCAAATCTTGTTCTTTAAAATTACTTGTTGTCCACAGCAAGAATGTGGCTGGCAATATGCACTTAGTGCACTGGGGGAGACAAATATGTAACAGAGATTTTTTGTATTACACCCAGGAGTAAGCTAGATTGTTGTAAAAAGTTAATCAGCATCCTTAGCTAGAGATGATTCTGCCTGGAAAAAAAAATTCTTTTCAGAGAAAGTGGCATTTGAGCTAGACATTGACAGCTTAGTATATTTAAATTACTCTCATCTAGCAAACGTTGGCATGAACTCATCCTTCCGAGCTTTACATTCTGTAGCCTTCTTTTAGCAAGTTTCTCTAGCTGTGCAGTAATTTTGGAAAATAGCTGTATTTTTATTTGTAAGCTTTATTTGTTTGTATCAATTTAAAGATTGGGCTAATATTCTCTTTTGAGAATAAAATAAAAATTTTTAGATAAAATAAACATTTTTTTCACTTTGCTTTAAAAATAATTTATTGTGATTTTTACAGGCTAATAATTGATGGTAAGAAGGATATTGAACCTTCACACAGGCAGGACTATGCTGTCTTTATGAGATTTGAGTTCAAAGGAAACAAAGATGGATTTTTGAGAGATGATAATTATAAAACTATCAAAAGTAAGTACGAAATTATCAAATATGTAGCAGTTTAAATCACTCAAAAGTTTGAACATCAATATTTGTAGAGACAACTTAACACATAATTATTCAATGGAATGAAAATGCAAACATATTCAAGGATAATTAAATTGTCATATGCGGCATGTTAAGAAATAATTCGTCCTCACAATTCTTTACATAATTTTCCAAGTTAGAATTTAGATGACTGTATACTTTTAAAAATGACATTAGACAAACATGACGATCTACAGTTTAAAGATTTTTTTAAAAACTGTTTTTTCTACGTATATTTAGGTATTCTCTTAGAGATTGGTATGGGGAAAAATGATCCATTCCATTTTTTTTTTTTTTTTTTTTTTTGAGTTGGAGTCTCACTCTGTCACCCAGACAGGAGTGCAGTGGCACACTCCCGGCCACCGCAGCCTCGACCCGCTGAGCTCCGGCGATCCTTCCACCTCAGCCTTCCAAGTAGCTGGAACTACAGGCGCGCGCTACCATGCCTGGCTAATTTTTGATATATTGTAGAGATGAGGTCTCACCAAGTTGCCCAGGTGGGTCTCGAACCCTCGGGCTCAGGCTATCCACTCATTTTGGCCTCCCAAAGTGCTGGGATTACAGGCTGAGCCACCGAACCGGGCCGATCCATTCCATCTTTACCAAACTTTCAGCTCTCTTAGAATCTATGTATGGAAACAGACAGAGAACAAGGTCTAGAGATTAGTAAGCAAATGCAGCACCCTGTTATAGGATACTGTTATTCATTATGATTTGCCGACCGCATGCCAAAATACATTACCTACCAGAATATCTACTAGACATCTCAACCTAATATGTCCAAAACAGGACTCTCTTGTTTCAAGAAATAGCAATCCCATCATTTCAGTTGCTCAGGCAAAAAAGTTTATGAGTTATCCTTTATTACCTATTCACTTTCTTATTCTGTATCCAATCTACCAGTAAATCCTGTTAGGTCTACCCTCAAAAATGTATCTAAAATCTGACCATTTCTCACCATTCTGCTATTACCTCCCCCTGCCATATTTGGGTCCTTAGGCTTTTTGAACATACTAAGCAAGTTATTGACTTAGAGTGTTTATGTTCTCTGTGCCTGGAATATACTTTGAAAACAATTCACGCTTTTTTTTTTTTTCCAGATTACCTTTATATATTTGGTCAAGTGTCTTCCTATCGTGTTTCTTTTCTGGATGTTTTTACATAAAACAGAATTCCAAAGATTTTGAATTCGACTTATCTGACCCTATTTCACTGTTATCAATAACATGCATCTTCTATGAAATGCTATATAAATATATGCATTATTTGGGTGTTTATCGTTAATTTCACTTCACTAGAATATAAAGTTCACTAGAGCAAGAATATTATTTCTTTTATCCTGTTATATCTCCAGGGCTAGAAGGGTACCTGGTACAGAAAAGGCAGTCAATAATTTTGTTTAGTGAAAAGATTGAATGAGTTACACATTTTCAGCAGGTTTTTCAGATGATACTATTTGAACTTAGAAAATATATTCTGTTTATGTTCAGCAGCTATTGTTGCTTTTACAGGTGATCAGTTCCAGAAAGTGGAATTAGCACTGACAGGTACAGGACTTCCTGTCGTATTACAGTTTAATTCAGGAAAAGTTCTTAATTTTACACCTTGTTTCATGGGTGAACGTTCAGAGATTCAGTGTATTATACAAAATCAATCCAAATCACTTCCTGTGTTGTACCACTTTAAAAAAACTGCACATTTTAAAGTTGATCCTAAAAGGGGCAAAATTGATGAAGGATGTACCCAGGTAAGATAAATTTTATTTGCTTTCACATTGTGACAAACAGTTTAAAGTCTGTTAAAATGCTTTGCAGATGATTAAAAACATTTGTTCTGCCAGTGTTTATCAGTTACATCTCTTGTTTGCCTAGTTATGAATACTTTTATATTGGAACTCATAGAATTCATAATTATTTGTTTAGTGTTTGTCATGTGCCAAGGAAAGCATTTGACCCTATAGGGGATTTAAAGAAGTGAAAAATACAGTTACTGTCTCTAGGATATTTTTAACGCAGTATGGAAGTACAAGACATATACACAAACAGATATGGCTAACAAGTAATGTAAAATATGTATAAAGAAAGCTGTAACAAGGCAATATAAAACTTCAGAGAACAGAATTATTACTTCCAGCCAGGAAGAAAGGTTTTCATAAGAGTAACATGCGAGCCGGGCTCGGTGGCTCAGCCTGTAATCCCGCGCCTTTGGGAGACTGAGGTGAGTGAATTGCCTGAGCCCACGGGTTCGAGACCCGCCTGGGCAGGCGAGACCTCATCTCTACAATAAATCAAAAAATTAGCCGGGCGTGGTAGCGTGCGCCTGTAATTCTGGCCACTCGGAAGGCTGAGGCGGAAGGATCGCCAGAGCCCAGCAGGTCGAGGCTGCGGTGGCCGGGAGCGGCCACTGCACTCCAGTCTGGGCAACAGAGTGAGACTCCAACTCAAAAAAAAAAAAAAAGGAAAAAAGAGTAACATACGAACCAGACCCTGAAGTTTGAGTAGAATTTTTAAATCAAAAATGATATTATTTACCTGACTTGAAACTTACACTGCTGGTGAAAAACAGAAAAAAATAGAATACCAAGGCACACCTGTGAGCACTAGGCCAGCTTCTGGATGTTAGGGGCTGTTTTTCTTTCAATTGTTACGCTGATAACTCTCCTGGATCTTCTAAACCAGACATTGGCAGACTATGGTCCACAGGTCAAATATGGCCTGATGCTTGTTTTGGTTAAATAATGTTACTGGAACATAGTCACTCTTATTTGTTCACCTATTTTTTAAGGCTATTTTCATGCTACAAAAACAGTTGAGTAGATGTGAGAACATTGTATGCCCCATGAAGTATGAAGTATTTTCTGTTTGGCAATTTACTGAAAAAGTTTACTGTGCTGTCATTTTCTCCTCAGTGTCTTATGTTATCATCTTTCCTCCACTGCAGTGATGTGGTTCATAAAGTTATTGATGGATGTTTCCTTCTAATTGCAATAGAAACTAATGTATATATGCTTTTACAAATGCAACTTCTAATTGTAACTTTTACTGCTTCATTAGTATGACCTCCCTCCCTTCAAATTTGGAGAGATTTAGTCAGTCTTCATAGAATAACAGCAAATGTTAATCACATTATACTAGAAGCCTTATTTTCAATTGTTTCCTAGACTTCCTTTCATCCAAGTCTCTTAAACCTACCAACTCAATCATTTTTCTTTAGTAATGTATAAATCTTTAAAACATAACTGATAGTCAAGTCCTTAATATTATCTTCATTCCTCTATATTTCTGGATTTCTCCAGCATTAATTTTCAAATTAGTAAAAATGTTCATGTAAGAAGTGTGTGGACATGGAGAACTGTGATCTGTACAGATTGGTCAGACTTTGGCCATTTATAAGTGTGGTAGGGTTATTCTTTTTTAAATAAGTTTTATTGACTAGTAATTCACATACCATAAAATTCACACGTTTAAGGTATACAATTCAGCACTATCAAATTTCACAACATTCTCCTCACCTCAAAAAGAAATCTTATGGCCATTAGCAGTCACTCCACTTGTCATTTATCAGCCTGTGGCAAGCACTAATCTTTTCTCTGTCTATAGGTTCTCCATATCTGGATATTTTATGTAAATATTATATTTATATGTGGTCTTTTGTGTCTGACCTATTTCATTTAGAATAATATTTCCAAAGCTCACCTACTTTGTAGTATGCATCATTCTTTTTTATAGCCAAATTATATTTCTTTGTACGATTTACCACCTTTTGTTTTCCTTGTATTAGTTGAGGGACATTTGGATTGTTTCTACCTTCTGTCTATTATGAATAATGCTGGTATAAAAAAATCATGTACACGTTTTTGTGAGGACATTTTTTAATATAAATTTTTATTTTAAATATATGAGGCACAATTTAGGGTTAGGTATACAAATGTCCATTATTCAGGTACCCTTGTTGATTAGGTGCCACCACCCCCCCCCCCCCCGGCAGTTTTCCACTACTGCCAATCCCTTTCTTATAGTATTACAATAGTTGTTCAAGTTCCGCTTATCAGTGAGAATATGTGATACTTGGTTCTTTGTTTCTGTGATAGACCACTCAGTATTGTAGCCTCTAAAGTTCCTCCAAGTTGCTGCAAAGTTCACAATTTTGTCCTTCTTTATGGCTTCATAATATTCCATCATGTATATGTACCACATTTTTAAAATCCACTCCTCTTTCGATGGGTAGCACGATTGGTTCCATGTTTTTGCTATTGTAAATAATGCTGCAATAAATGTGTGTGTGGAGGTATCCTTTTCATAGAGTGATTTGAGTTCTTCCAAGTCTATTCCCAGATGGCGGATTGCAGGGTCGTATGGAAGGTCGATTTTTAGATCTTTTAGGAATCTCCACACTATTTTCCACAGAGGCTATACTAGTTTACATCCCCACCAACATTATAGAAGTGTTCCCTTTTCTCCACATCCTCTCCAGCACCTGTTGTTTTTTGAGTTATTGATGATGGTCATCCTGACTGGAGTTAGATGGTATCTCAGTGTGGTTTTGATTTGCATTTCTTTAGTGACTAGTGAGGCTGAACATTTTTTCATGTATCTGTTGGCTGTTCTTTTGTCTTCTTTTGAGATATGTCATTTTGTATGTCACTCTATTTATATCTTTTCATGTGTCATTCTATTCATATCTTTTGCCCACTTTGTAATGGAACTGTTTTTTTTTTTTTCTTTTTAGCGCGAGTTCCTTGTAGATCCTAGATGTTCGGCCTTTGTCAGATATACGGTTGGCAAATACTTTTTCCCAGTCTGTGGGCTGTCTTCCTGCTCTCTCAATGGTTTCTTTGGCTTTACAGAAGCTTGCCAGTTTATCTCTTATGGCATGGGCCCTTGGGGTTTTGATTAGGAATTGGTTGCCAGTTTCAGTTTCCATAAGGATGTGTCCAGCATTTTCTAAGGTTCTCATAGTCTAAGGTTTTACGTTTAGGTCTTTGACCCATTTAGAGTTGATTTTTGTGTATGGTGATAGGTAGGGGTCTTCTGCATGTGGTCAGCCAGTTTTCCCACCATTATTTACTGAATAGATTCTCTTCTCCCAGTGGTTGATGGTGGAGGCTTTGTCGAAGATGAATTGCTTGAGAAATTGAGATTTTGCTTCTGGAATCTCTATCCTGTTCCATGGGTCTATAAGTCTGTTCTTGTACCAATACCGGATTGTTTTGGTTATTGTAGCTTTATAATAAAGTTTAAAGTCTGGGAGTGTGATACCTCCCACTTTTTTGTTGTTGTTGTTGAGGATTGTTTTGGCTATTCGTGGTTGTTTATGTTTCCATTTGGATTCCTGTATTGTCATTGCCAGGTCTGAGAAGAATGCTGCTGGTAATTTATTGGGTATTGCGTTAAATCTGTAGATTGCTTTGGGTAGGGTGGACATCTTAACAATGTTGACTCTCCCAATCCATGAGCATGCAATATTTTTCCATTTGTTTGTGTCATCTTTGATTTCTTTGAACGGTGTTTTGTAGTTTTCGTTGTAAAGGTCTTTCACTTCTCTGGTGAGGAAGATGCCAACGTATTTCATTTTCTCTGTGGCTATTGTGAATGGGATTGTGCTTTTTATTTGGGTTTGTGTTTGTTTATTGTTGGTGTATAGAAGTGTGACTGTCTTTTGCACATTTATTTTATACCCAGAGACTTTGCCAAAGTCCTTTGAAGGACGGATTTTTAACATTCTTGAAATATACCTAATGGTGGAATTGTTGAAGTCATATAAAAATTGTATGTTTAACTTTTTGAGAAACTGTCATACTGTTTTCCAAAGTGACTGCCCCATTTTATATTCCTGTCAGCAATAAATGAACCGTTCAATTTCTCCATACCCTGGACCACACGCATTAATGTCCTTCTTTATTATGGCCACCCCAGTGGGCGCAAAGTGTCATGTCCCTGTGGTTTTTTATATACATCTTCCCAGTAACTAATTATAATGAATAATTTTATGTGCTTATTGTCCATTTGTATATCTTCTTTGGAAAAATGTTTATTCATATCTGTGATAGGTTGAATAATGGTTTCATAAAATATTTTTATCTTAATCCCTAGTGTTATGAACATGTGATGTTGCATGGTTAAGGAGAATTCAGGTTTCAGTTGGAATTAAAATAGATAATCAACTGCCCATAAACTAGGGAGATTACCCTGAACTATTGGAGTGAGCCCAATGTAATTACAAGGGTCCTTATAAGTGGAAATGAAGGAACAGAATAACCGTCAGTATCAAAGTGATGTGATGTGAGAAAGACTTCCCTATTCATTAAGTTCTGGCTTTAAAGATTGAAAGGGAGTCATATGCCAAGGAATGGCATGGTCTCGAAGCTGGAAAAAGCAGAAGGCATATAATACCCTAAGACTTCTGAAAAATATATAGTCCTGCCAATACCTTGATTTTCATCCATCTAGACCTGTGCCAGGATTCTAGTCAACACAAGTATAAGATAAGAAATTTGAGTTTAGTCAATAAAATGTTTGTAATATGTCATTGCAAAAATAGGAGACATAACATTTTTTTTACCAATTTTTACTTGGGTTGTCTTTTGTTGTTGAGCTGTAAGAATTTTTTATATATTCTGAATCCAAGTCATATCTAAATATTTATCAGGTGCATAAATTGCAAATATTTTATTCTGTTCTCTAGATTGTCTTCTTATTTTATTGATCATCTCTTTTGAAGCATAAAAGCATTTAATGTTGATTCAGTCCACTTTATCTATTCTTCTTTGGTTTCTTGTGCTTTCAGTATCACATCTAAGCAATAATAGACTATCTAAGGGCATTCAATTTTGTTACTATGTTTTTCTATTAGAATTTTAGCTCTAACTTTTAAATCTATTTTCTATTTTGAGTTATTTTTGTACATCACATAATTTAGACATCCAAATTCGCTTTTTTACTATTTTGAAATTTAATTTTATTGTATATTTTTTAGATGAACAACATGATATATTTTGTATAGTTGACCTTTAGTTAATTTTTTAAATTTATATATTTAATTTTTAGAATTGCCAAAAATTGTATATATTCATGTTGTACATGATGTTTCAAAGTATGTATACACTGTGCAGTGGTTAAATCAAGGTAGTTAACATATACATTACCTCACATTCTTGTCACTTTTTTTGTGTGGTGAGAACACTTAAAATCTACTCTCAGTGATCTTCAAGAATTCAATAAATTGTTTTTAATTATAGTAAACATTATTTAAAATAGACTTCTTGAATTTATTTTTATGCCTAATTGGAATTTTATGTCCTTCGACCAACATCTTCCTAATCCCCTCACCCTTCAAACCCTGGTAAACACCATTCTAATCTGCTTCTATGATCTCAACTTTTTAAAGTTTTGCATATAAGTGAGATGATGCAGTAATTATGCAGTATTTGCCTTTCTGTGCCTGAATTATTCCACTTTACATAATTTTTTTAGACTAATCCTCTTTGTCACTGACAGGAGTTTCTTCTTTTTTAGGCCGAGTCATTTTCTATTTTATATGTATACACCATATTTTATTTTTTTCATATAGAAGGCAAGTTATTGCAGAATTATTTTGTATATCTAGGTTTATCCTATGCCTGTACCACAATGTGTCAATTATTATAGCTTTCTAGTAATTTTTGAAATTGGGAAATATGATTATTCATTGCTTTTGTATATAATTGCAATTGTTTTTTGCATATTGACCTTGCAATGTACAAACTTGCTACACTCATTTTGTAGTTCTGGTGGTTTGTTGGTGGATTCTTTAGGATACAAGATCATGTTGTTTTACATCTTTCTTTTCCATCTGGAATCATTTTATTTATTTATTTTCTTGCCTAATTGCGTTAGATAGAACCCTTGTACAATGTTATGTAAAAGTGGCAAAAGAGGATATCTTGTCTTGTCCCTGATCTAAGGGGAAGTCATTAGTCATTCATCATTACGTATAATGTTAGCTGTATGTTTTTCATAGATTGTCTTTACAAACTTGAGGTTGTTATGCTAAATGAAATATGCACAGAAAAAAACATTACATGATCTCACTTATGTGTGGTATCTAACAAAGTTGAACTTACAGAAACAGAGAGTAAAATTGTAATTGTTAGAGGCAAGGAGTGGAGGATGGGAAGATGTTGGTCAATAGGTATAAAGTTTTAGTGAGACAGAAAAAATATGTTCTGAAGATCTATTGTGCAACATGATGACTATAGTTAATAATAATGTATAATCGAATATTGCTAAGAAGGTAGATCTTAAATGTCTTCTCTTCCCAAAAAATATAGACATGGTATTTAGCTTAATTTAATCATTTTAGATTAAATCAAAATATGTTATATACTATGAATATGTACAATTATTATTTGCTAATTATACCTTAATAAAGCTGAGGGGGAATTAAATGTAAAACAAAGTCTATTTACATTTACTGTAACTAGTGGTAATGTAGGATTTAAGTCTGCTATTTTTCTATATATTTTCTATAACTTTATATCTTTGTTCTCTATTATTTTAATACTGTTTTATTTTGTGTTAAAAAGATATTTTATAATATACCATTTTAATTCCCTCATTATTCTCTTCACTAAACTTTTAAAATATTTAATCTTCTTAGTGGTTGTTTGCCTTCACCACTAAGAATGTTGGGAGTTACATTCAATATCTTTACTTAAAAAGGCCTAGTTCAGATCAATAGCAACTTTATTTATATAGTATACAAAAACTTTGCTTCAGTGTAACTCTGTTCCTTGTCTCCTCTTTGTGCTATTATTATAATATAAATTATAAATACTTATTTTTTAAAGCTCATCAGCACTCTTAAATAATTACTTCTTTATACATTGCTCTTTAAATTAAAAAAGAGCAGGAAACCATTGCGAACAAAAATATATGTAAATTGTCTTTTATGTTTATCTATTTAAGCAGTTACCTTTACCTATGCTCTTAACTTCCTTGTCTGAATTTGAGTTACTGCCAAGTGCCCTTTTATTTCTTTCTGAAGGACTCTCTATACTTTTCAAATGCAGTTCTTCTAGTGATACATTCTCTTCATTTATGCGTTTCTGGAAATGTCTTAATTTAGATTTCAGTTTTGAATGATAATTTTGCTAGTTATAAAATTTTCAGTCGACACTTTTTTTTTCAGCATTTAAATATGCCTTTACTATGCTTTCTTGTTTCCAGTGTTTCCAATGAGATGTTGCTGTTGAGTTTTTAAGAATCCTTTGCATGTGATGAGTAACTTTTTCTTACTGTTTCCAAAATTCTCTCTTGGTCATAGTTTTCTGATAATTTGGCTTTCATATTTTTATGTATGGATCTCTTTAATTTATCCTGCTTGGGTTTTGTTGCGCTTCTTTTATATGCAGATTGTTTTCATCAAGTTTTTTAACTTTTCGTTAATTATTTATTCAAATATTTTTCCTGCTTTTAAAAACCTTTTCCTTTAGAAGCTACATGTGTTACTATGCTTGATGGTGTCCCAAAAGTCTCTGAGATGCTGATCATTTTTTTCATCTTTATTTATCTTCTTCAGTCTGGATAATTGCAAATGCCTTGTCTTCAATTTCACTGAATATTTTTCTGCTAATTTAAACCTGTAACTAATTCCTTTTGGTAAATTTTTAACTTTAGATACTTCACTTTCAATTTTAGAATATTTATTTGTTCTTCTATGTAATTTCCATACTTCGTTGAAATTGTCTTTTTGTGAAACACGTTTATATATTCCCATTACTTCTTTAGACTTATTTTATTTTAGTTCTTTGAATGTATTTATAATGGTTGACTTATCATGTTTGTCTAATAAGTCCAACATTTGTGTTTCCTCAGGGACTTTTTTTATTGAACACATCATTTCTAGGTATTGATGACATGCTTTCCTGATTATTCGGGTGTCACAATTTTTGTTGCTGTTAAAAACTGGGCATTTTAAGTAATATAATCTGATAACTATGGAAATAAAAATCTCAGTATTTTAAAAATTTTTGGTTGTTTTATTTAGTGAGTTTCTAGACAAATTCTGTAAAGATTGTTTTCTTTATTGTGTACAACCAATCAAGTCTCTGCTCAGTTAATTTAGTGTTCAGCTAATGATTGGACAGCAGTTCCTTTAAATTCCTTGAACCAATAAGTCTCACTGCCTATGTCAAGATCCTCTGTGTAAATATGTGGGAATATGTCTTCAGTCTTTTGTCAAGTAGTTTACAACTCTTTCTAGCCTCAAATTCCTTATTGTAGACAGCGTCAAAGTAAGTCACAGATGAGAGATTAGAACTTTATTATGTCTTTCCTGGGCATATACATGTGTGGAAATCTCAGTTTTCAGGAATATGTCAGAGTTTTTCAAATACCATAAGAATATCTTGTTCTCAAGTATTTTTTTAATTATCCTTGTGTCTATGTATCTATCTGCCTGTTTATCTATCTATGATTATCTTTTTTTAGTCTTAAATGGTAATGTTACCTCAAGTTATTGTGATATTCAACGATTGCTGCATACATACACACACACACATAGTATAATGTTTTGTATATTATGAAAATTATGAAAACTAAGTTGATATGGATCTGAACTAGACCCTTTTAAGTAAAGATGTTAAATGTAAGATTAACTATTTAAAAGGATTAGGAAAATAAATAATGAGAAAATGTAAATGGTATATATATATGGCACACACATGCGTGCGCGCGTGCACACACACGAACAAAACTCTAAGAAGAGGGTTATTCACACAGAATAAGCTTTGAATCATGGCAGATAAATACATGCCCTCACAACAGGCTTTTCAGTCAGCTGCCAGACAGAATAAATATATACATTTCTCTTGGAATGAGGTTTTTAGAGAGCTTCAAACTCATTCTTTTCCCTCCAGTGACTACAGGGTAATGATTTTCACAGCTTCCACAGTTGTAGAGCATTTTTTCCCCCAAGAAGACCACAAAGCTGAATTTAGGAGAATGGGATTACAGCAAATAAAAATGTCACAAAGTCATTGATTCCTTCAGCGATTCAGCCATTTTTCCTTAAATAAATACTCTTTGGATTTGTGTAAGCTTCTAAGTAATTTCCAAATATCTGAATAACTGAAAGAAGTTCATTTTGACAATGGTCTCCTTCCTTATGTGGAAAAGTAGGTTTTTGTAAGTCTTTAATTCACTATTCTGGAAGTGCTTCAGGACTATGTTCTTAATATTTCTTAAGTAATTTTCCAGTAATGTATATATTAATTTGCCAATGTTGCATGCTTTTGAAGTACTTTTATTTCTCCATGATGAATAACTTTTCTTGAAGTTGTAAGAACTGTCCTATTGAATTTGCTTTTAGTCTTTTTATCCTAACAACACAATACAGGTAACTTTTCCTCTTCTTTTTTATAGCATGTAATGTGTTCATTTATTCCACATCAAGTTGGATTCTTTAAAGTGAAGCAGGTGATAGAAATTATTGGCTCAGTGGCAGATGAAAATTTGCAGTCTTTATCAATGAAACCTTTTTATCACATATATTTGGATTTCAACAGCATCTGCAAACCTTCCAGGAAGAAAGTTGTGATGAAAATTAATCCTGGTATGCTATTGTGCAGTGCTCTCCTGGTTTTGATGTTGTTGTGAATGTATGCTTATTTTAATATACTAATTATTTAGCTGTATATATCAAATGTGGTCTAATTCAGTGGTTCTCATCTTTTAACATGCATTAAAGTCACCCAGAAGTCCTGGTGAAACAAGTATCACTGGCCTACATCTCAGCAATGATTATTTATCAAGTCTGTGTCAGGGCCCAATGGTTTACATTTTTACAATTTTCCCAGTAGATGCTGATGCTGCCATTACAAGGATCACTTTGAATAGTACGGTTTGGCAATATATACCATTTATCAACTAGTTTTATGGCTTTAATATTTACACTTTTTACTTTTTTGTTTGAGTCTATAATATAAACTGGTTTTGACAATTCCATGGATTTTCTTATTGCTGCTGTTTTATCTAATCCTTCATTTTCTTTTATAAGTGAACTATATAAAGTTGGTGATGTCCAACTGTCTGTAATCCACAAAAAGTTTAGTTTTATGAGTTAGTCTAAATCCTTCAAGTTATTATGTTTTTGTTTGTTTGTTTATTTGGGGGTTTTTTTGGTTGTTTTGTTTTTTGTTTTTTGGTTTTTTTGAGTTGGAGTCTCACTCTGTCGCCCAGACTGGAGTGCAGTGGTCGCTCCCGGCCACCACAGCCTCGA